CTCTGCAAATTAGCTACTTTATTTCCTGAGTTTTGGTCTGCTTTTTGTCTGTTTAATGATTTCTAACTAAATTGGATATATTTGAGGTGGAGTTGAGGAGTTTACTATCACTTCTTCAGGGCCAACAATGAGGCTGAAGGCAAGGCGAGAGACGCACACTGACTCAATCATGATTGGTGGAACATGCACAAGACAATGATTGAAAATGTTTGGGTAATGCTTAAAACATTACTCAAACAGACAGATATATAATAACAAATGTGCACTGTTTAGGTAAATGCCTCTGGGTAATATCTTATTTGGAAATTTTGGAGGCAAAAGTAGCTTGGGTAGCCCCATACAGGTTTTTAAAACCCCAGCCTACTGTCTTACGGGACGGGTGGGATTTGGGGGTTTATGGGTGGGGAAGAAGGATGGATAGTGAATAATGCATGGGGAAATAAGCTTAAAAATTGCGTAAATTTAATTGAATGTGTTAATTGCGGGCGCTTTATAGCGGCCGAATTGACCGCGCAAATCAAAAATCTAGGAGCATTTCTGCATTTAATAAAGTTGAGAAAAATGAATGAAGCGCTGAGAGTGAATTTTGGCAGATCAGGAATCAGGGTGTGCGTAAGCTAATATAATTCAAGGCCGGCGGTGCGCAATTAAGGATCGTATGAGTGTGAACGAGATAATCATGAGGACAGGAAGACGAACGCCTAAAAAAAAGAATTGTACAGGGAAGTAGCTGTAATATGGGAGTCGGAGATGACGGGAAGGAGAATGTGCAACCGAATTCACAGAAGGTGTAAGTTTCCGTAATAGTGTGTATATTATAAGCGTAATGCTAATTATATTGTAAGTGGAATAAATGTGGATGTACTTTTTGTGTTTAGTAATTTAATTAAATTGGCGAAATAACTGAATGATTATAAAAGAAATGTGTGAGTTCGACCACCGTATTCGGTGATGTCCACCATATGCTCGAGAGCAGGGACGGTGACAGGAGCCCAGCATAGTGATAGCAGACGCGCCGCTGACTACTTCACTATAAACCCTCTCCATTGCGTTTAAATGGTGACATGATGAGTCGAGATAACCGCGCAGGGAGGGAGCGTGGCCGCAGCCGAAAATACCGCCTAAACTTAGTATATAGTGACAGTAGATTTTGCACCGGTACTACTGCGCTATCTATCATCACTCACCTATAGTAGGTGTCTAGCCTGATTCTAAGGGAGCAGGGCTTGTTCTCATAAACAGCCACTAGAAATAGCAGCTAGAATGGGGTTCGCTGGTACTATTTCAGTCTGCATTATGAGTCTGAAGTGGTGCTGGTTAAAATCAGCACAGGGTTCATATCCCTTCAATCTCAACAAGATATGTATAACTTCTGGCTCTAGCATTGATGCCACCATTTGTCAGCGTTTTCGCTGACTAAGCCTTTGCTAGAGCTAACATACCCTTGATCTGAACAAGGGAGATGAATCTGGGTTTAACTCTTTCGGGTAAGTACATGCTTGGAGGCCTGAGCAAAGTTGTGGTTGCCTTGGCTTCCGCACTCTCAACTCGATCCTTCGAGCTGTACGGACTAAGATGCTGCTGCCATAGGTGTGTGCT